TGATGTGGGGAAAACAATTCTTATTATAGGAGAAACGTTCACATGGATTTTCAATATATCTCTGTATTTAAGTAAGTTACTTTTCCCTGTATAAACAAGTGCTTTTCCGGCAAGTCCCTCTGCCTCTGCTGAAATAACAGGATTACTTTGAATTGTATTGACTGGGATCCAGGAATAATATGTTCTTGGGTTTTGTTCATCGCAGAAGTGATGTACTGAGTCACAGAACTCGACCTCTTGGAGATGAATGTGAATCTGATTCCATTTAGGAAAGGCAATCGAAAAGTCATCAAGGGCTTTTGAAGTAGTCATTGAAAACGTGTCACTTTTAAAAATGATGAATTCCTAGAAATTCTCTGCCAAAGAGGTTTGTAAATCTTGTCATAGTAGGTATTCCGAAAGCACAGCACAATTTCATAACATTTCCAGATATTTTGGTCAAGTTTTTTTTAATGTGAGGGTTCCTTTACATATGTTGGCGACCACTGCGTGTGTTTGCACTGTTTGAACAGGCAGGTACAACCAAATGGTGCGTTTTGTCTTTGGAAATGTGTGATTTGGGGGCTCCAGAGTTCTCTTTAAAACAGATACTGAAGATATGAAGCATCCAGCTATGTTTGCTATGGGAAATTTTACTTCATTCATTGGTGTATAAATGTTAAGGACCAAACCAACAGGGCAGATTACAAAAAACGAAGCCCAGTAAAACAATAATTAAGACCCAATAGAGCCATGTGGTTACTGCCAAAAGTTTAAAGGTTCAAATTCCTTTAAAACTTTAAATAGTATATTTTTCCACCATACTTCAGATCATGCTTTTGGCAGCAGCAAAATATTAGTATTGCATTATTTGTTTTAAAATAAACATTTCAAAATTTGAACTCCAGAGTTGAAGGCAGCAAAGGGGAGAGAGAGTTAAAACCTTGCACATAGCCAGTTTATTGCTTTAAAATTATTGACTCAGCTGTTTTCATTTGTGGGAGATTTAGGAATTGTTCTAAGCAGTGTAAATCAGAGCCTTGGCTGATGATGAATGAACGGAGCCTGGTGTCCAGAGCACACCATGTGCCTCAAATGGGGGTTGTGGTGGTGGTGTTGTTTGCATTGTTCTCCTTCATATGTAAATAAGCACAAAAGGATAGTAAGGAAAAGGGCTCAAAAACCTGGAAAGGATCCATCTTTCTAGTTTGTCAAGGCTGCTTCAGACTTTTTTCCCCCCATAGCTACCAAATCTTAATTAAGTTTGCTTTCTGTAATACTTTGCTGCTCCTTTTAGCATCAGCCCCTTCGTTCTCTCTTACTGTGTCAGACATCTCTGAGTTTGTTCATACAAATACATAACTTACATTTTAATTTCCATTGTTCTGGATTATTTACTGTATTTTAATTTTCAAGTCAGCATGAAGAAAGGAAAAAAAGTAGAAAATTACGTATTAGCAAGTCTTTTTTTGACTTTATCTGTACTTTTGTCTTCTGTTTGTAAACAACTTCCTTGTTTTAATCATTGACTTGCAGCAGTGTCCTTCCCCCTCCCTCTCCCCAAACAGCTGTAACAAACCCCTCAATTTTCCACTTAATATAGTTTTGCCTTGTACACTGCATTTCATGTTTACGAAATGGATCTTTATTTAGAAACAAACTGCAGTTCAGTTGAGGTACAATTCACTTCCCAGAAATTGTTGAAAGAAGGGATTAGTGCCTGTGGCAGCAATGTCTTTGGATTTTCAACTGCACAATTGCTTGTGCTACAAACTTGATTATGTTCTGAATCACTGTATGACTGGTTTCTTGGTTGGCTCCACAACTCGGGCAACTTCCACTCCTCAGAAGTACCATAAATAAAAATGTACTTGAAACGGTACACAATGATTGCTACTTACAGATGTGCATTGATTTGCTTGGGACTTCTCACAGTGGTTTTATTGAGGTATCCATTTTCTAGTTCTAGTAATGCTAGGTCTATGCTCTGGTGTTGGGTGAAATCCAGCTTCCCTGAAATCGATAGGGGTTTTGGCTTTTGCTTTCTGGTAGGATCGGAATTTCACGTTAGTATGTTCACAGTACCCAAATTACATGCTTAGCAAAGGCTCTGGGAGTGCTAATTTTCTGTAACTGTAGATAACAATACAGCTAAACAACTGAAACTAGTTCACCCTTACAACTGGAACGAGTTAGTCTCTGCTCTTATGCAGAGTCCTTTCTAATGCTTTCCAAGTTTCCAAAGTCTACCAAATGCCACAAAAATGAGTTTTAATGTCAGTTGTCAAATTTTTCTCAGGCTGAGAAGGATTTGTTTCTTCACTATTGTGTGTTGAGGGAGATGTATGTAGCATTCACAAATAGCTCAAAATGAAACTTGCAAGTAAGAATAACTTTAAAACTTACCAAGAAAAAAGTCTTCCAGCTGGTTTTGCTTCTGTGGGAGATGGAAAATCCAGAGGCCAAGTTGTTTTTTCTTCCTGTATTACCCGATGCTGTGGATTGTTAATCTGCAGTTGGAGCTGAAAACTGCTTTTGTCTTTCTCTGTTAGATCCAAGCTGTTCTGAGGAATTGGGTTTCTCCATACGATAACCAAACTAACTGATCATTTAAAAAAGGGGAAAAAAAGTAATGCTCCGGTGTGCGTTATTCCAGAAGAGAGAAAGAAATGGTTTTTTGAAACTGCAGTGTTTTATTCTCACAGAATAGAGCAGAAGTGCTCTAACCAGCTCCAGCTGACCCAGATTCCATATACATCACTTTTGGACAGTGTTTTTTTTAAACAAACACACGCTCGGCTCAGCCGTTCGGCCCACCTATGATGTCACCGCGAGCACTCGGAGAGCAGGAGAAACTCCTCCTTCGGATTTCCTATCCATACCCTCCAGAAAAGGAGGGGGTAGGGAGGTTGAGAAGTCAGGAACAAGGAAAGATTGTTTGCCAGTAGAAGGGAGGTACCATATGGCAACGGACTGTGCAAGAGTTCAGCAGGCAATTACAAATCAAACATTTTTACTACGCTGCCTAAAGATGCCTTTCAAGTTATTACAGTACTGGGCTTCATTTAGAAGAAAGATTCTTTCAGGCTGATAAAACTTGATTTGTGTTGCTGGGAATAAAAGGGGCAGCCTGGCTGGATACAACAGGAAAAATGAAGCATTTGTAGTCTAGAAGAATGTTCGACAGAATGTCGCGTTCAATTCTTGACGTTCACTTAATAAGAAACAGCTCCGGTTGTTAAAGGCACGAAGCCTCCGATACATGTGGAAAATGTTAAAACTCTATGTGTGTGTGTGATGGTTTTGGGTAGGTATCAGAATGTTTGATAACATCTGACCAGTGTTAGAAGTAGCAAAAGCCACAGAGATTACGCTCCTTGAGGAAAGCAGAGTCTGGGTTGGGTTCTGTCCGTGCTCAGCCAGCACTCGAGTACGTTCCGTTTGCTGCCATTGATCCTTTCTGTTTCTTCACAAAGGCTGTGCCAGTTACATTTGAAAGAGAATTACCTTCGTGTGCCTTCAGAATTATTTTAGATTTCATAGCAATGCATCCAGTAGCTTCAGAGAGCTGCTCTCCACAGGAGAGTTGTTGACTTAGCTAAAAGAAAAATCCTGTGCTTAATTGAGCAAGTCATTCAGAGAGATAATCCTACAAATACAGTGGTTTATAAAATCCTGCATAATAGTGCAGGTGCCTGTTACAGGGAATTTCCTTAATTATAGTTAATAAGCATGATTTACTTCTTTCTGTGGAAGACTGAGCAGGTTTGGGATTTTTAAGGCTCGTTTGGACATAGCTTAGTACAGTTAGGTTTGGGACAGCTTACACACTGTAGCATGGCAATTAAAGGGGACTGCCTGATGGTTCTGATTATCCTTTCTATTTTTTAATAAACTCTTTCTAGCAGAATAGAAAATTGAGAGATTTAGTAGTGTATCAGGTCATGTGTAATACCTTTTTATTCACTTTTTTATATATCACCTTTCAACCGCAAGTATTTTAATTTGTTTCTGTGTGTGCGCACACACGCATGTGTGCGTGTTGATTTTGGAGGGATGCCCAGAGTTTCCCAGCTCACATTTGAGGACTGTACTGGTTAGGTGCTATACAAACACAACTGCTGTTCTTGTGAGGTTGCATTAATAGTCTTCCACCTGTAAAGCCAAACTCCTTGTTATGATTTTGGTTATACGAGGCTGAGAGGTGAAGCAAAATATAATTTTAAAACTTCCCTTTAACAGAAATTGGTTTTTTTAATAATATTATTTGTGTATTTTTTTAGTTTGGGTATCTTGTGGAAGATGCAGGGGATGAAGAGCAGTTCCTCTTAATAGCAGGGTTGATCAGGATGTGTTTCGTTTAGTTGAGGCAGAATGATCAGTCTTTAGGTGAAGTTCAAGAAATGGAGTTGCATTTAGAAATAAACATGTTTTATCTACAGCATTAGTGTGTAAGGAAGAGGATTTTCATCTGTATACGATCAGGGGATTGAAAGAGTAGTAAGATTACAAATAGTGCAGGGGGAAAAGGCAGGTAGAAGACTTAAAATGTCTTATCTGTAAGGCTGTTGGATCCATTCCACATTTCAGTCTGAGTGCTCTTTTTCCCTAGTTAACTTTTCCCACGTTGCTGCAAGTTGAGTCCGAGTTTTTATTCAGCTTGAAGGGTTATAAATACAATTTTTCCTTCTAGTATTTTTTTAATTGCTGAATTGGAGGAAAGAAGTCATAAACTTCCTAAACAATTAGTAATTTTGATCAGGTGTTTTAGCATTGTGTGTTCAGGGTGCTTCATATTTGTCAAGGGAATTGTTCGTTGGTGCTGTGGTGAAGATGGGGTTTGTGAGTAGTTGTTCATGCCCTGGTAATTACTTTTAGATTTAGAAATAATGGCATTATTAAAGACCTGCAAGCATATCAGTCAACGAAAGCAGAAATTCTTCACAATACCGTTGGTGAGTTTTTTCTGCTAAGTGTGAGACACTTAAGTAAAGAAACTTTTCATTCTGATCTTATTTCAGGTATTTATCTGTCAGACTTGACGTATATTGACTCTGCCTACCCATCCACAGCGAGCATTCTGGAGAGTGAGCAAAGAACAAACTTAATGAACAACATTCTCCGAATTATCTCAGATTTGCAGCAGTCGTGTGAATATGGTAAGCTATTGTGGAAACACCGCAGTATTAAAGAGAAGAACTTTAAAAGCTTCAATATTTGTTTGCTGTAAAGCAGCTTAAGTAAGGCCCAGTTCATCTGAATGCCATGAACACCCTCCCTCATCCTCTCACACCAAAAGTTGGGGTTTATTTTGGTATTGTTGTTTGAGACATAGCATCAGTGTGAGGAGACAGAAGAAAATTGCCCTTTTCTTACATCACACACGTTTTTGCAGGACATATTTCCTGATGATAAATGTGGAGTACATCCTATTTAAAACAGTAGTTTTACTGGCATGTTATAAGCTTGTAGCCGTGTGCTTCATAATTTTATGACCATGAATTTTAAAAATAGGATTGCTTTTGGAGTAGTACTTTTACTGGAGGTAATAAAATACATTTAGCTTGTCTTTTGGCATTTATAGTTCTGTTCGTGGATCAGATCATTTATTTTTTCTTCAAAGGTCTCCCTCACAGTCCCCTTCATATTCTAGCAGTCGTAAGGCTGTGTTTGCAGTGGTGGAATGTGAATTAGCACAGGACTGGCTTCCCTGAAAGCTCAATATCAAGAGAATATGGGCTGTGAAGGAGTCCTCAGACAGAGCCCTCCACATTGCAGGTGTGGGCCTTCAGTTTGGCCTGGGAAGATGTCTTTCTTTTCCCTTACATGTGCTCTGATAAGCAGCTCTGGGGTTTGTGGATGTGGGGAGTGTCAGCTCAGCACATGAGATTTGCTGTGAAGTTCTAAAATTTCAGTATCACCAGAGGCTGTAGTTTGTACCTTCATCTCACAGAAAAAGTCAGGAGATCCGAATCTGTTTAGTTTCTGGAAAATTGCTTACCAATGAGTGGTATAGTAATAATAAATGTCATCTGTTCTCCAGATATTCCTATGTTGCCTCATGTCCAAAAATATCTAAACTCAGTGCAGTACATAGAAGAACTACAGAAGTTTGTAGAAGATGACAATTACAAGTAAGTACAAAATGCTACAACTGACTGTAATTCCTAACAAAATAACTTCTATAACACAAAACCTGTCACTTGTAAGATTGCACTTGTGTCAGGGGATTGTATTATATTGTATGGGTGTCCCTGCCCATGGCAGGGGTTGGAATGAGATGAGATTTAAGGTCCCTTCCAACCCAAACCATGCTGTGATTCCACGATTATGCACCTCAGATGAACCAGTTGCAAGTGGTTGAGGTTCCAGAAGGATCCTGTGCTCCAAGACACTTTTCCACATGCTGCATGGCTTATCTCCTTCCTTTTCTATGCCAGAATGTACCAAGCCCTTGTTTCCAAAAGTCTGATAAAGACTTTGTCCACCTGGCTCACCTGTAACACTGTGCAGTCAATAAGATGGATTCCATAATTGGAGATGGGTTACTGTCATTCTTCATCAGAACAAAGCCATCTGTGCACCCAGTCCCACGTGTTTACTGAGGGTGACTTAAGGCTTTCACTTGCATGTATTTCATTTTATATTTTGCTCTTTGATTAGGTTATACAGTGTGAGTACCTTGTAAGCACTTGATTTCTGAGAGGGGAGTTACTGTCCATCTCTGTCTCTGCCTGTTCCTCCCAGCCTCCCACCTGAGGTTTCTACCTCTCTTATAATTAAAAGATTACTGTAATAAGTGATTTGGCATCCAGTAAAACTGAGGGAGGGAAATCTGTGGCAAAAGACAGGAACTAGCCCTGAGGAGAGGAAACACCCTAAAGCAAATGTGCTGCCTATGAAGGAGGTTTTTGTTCATTGGCTGATCTGCTGGAGGAGGTTCCCCACCCATTCCCACCCTCTCTGCTTCTTAGTGATGTTGTTTTCCTGCATTCCACGCTCCACCTTCCTCCACCTTCGCTAGGTAGGACTCGCTGCCAGTGGGAATTTTATTGCTGAAGGAGCTACAGTCTCTTCGTCCTGTACAATCCACGTTTTGGTGGCAGGGCAATGAATGGAGGCAATGGCACGTGAGTCAGGAGCACGGCTTTTCCACCCACGGGTTTTGTACTTCTCCAGACTGAACGTTTTTATGGTCAAGGAGTGTATTTTGAAGAACGCTTCTTACTATAAGTGACTGGTTTATTTTTTTTTATCCCCTAAGGTGTCTGTCAGCAAAGAGGCTGAAGTTAGAAACCAGCCTTGTGACTTGAATAGGTGGATTTTATTTAAAAAAATTAAAGGATTTTATCTAAAAAAATTAGGTTATAAAATTGTAATTATTCATTACTAAACTGTTGGGAATAGGAGGGAGAGGAGCTGTCAAACTTCAACTTTTTTCTTCCCACAATGCAGTAGATACTTTTTCGACCTTGCTAATTTCAAAGATTTTTAATTCTGGAAACTGTGTGGACAAGATACTCTTGATCTTCCTGGAGTTCTCTGCCCCTGGAGTCTGCCTTCTTTGTGGGACTCTTGGAAATGGCATTAAACAGTGCCTGTTACAGAAAAAAGCTTGAGTTATGGATGAAATCAAGCTGATAATGTGTTTTCCAAGACACAAAAGGATCTTGGCTTTTGGACCAGTAAAGACCAAAGGCTTGGCTTGGCACAGTAGACTTTACAGAAAAATTTAAAATACAGAGTGTGCCGGGAATACATATTTTAGTCAAGGTGGGGGGAGCAATTGTATGTTTTTTTTATTCTTCCCAGGTTTTATGCTGGAGTAGCAGTATCATCACTGAGTTTATGTATCTGCCAGAAGTCCCTGGGCCATGGAGGTCCTGGTGGTGTTGCAAACCTGGCCTGCTCTGTATGAACCAAATAATAAAGTTTGGAAATGGTGTGTGCTAAAGATAACTCTGCACAGTTGATATTAACTTCACAGTATTTCTTGCAATTATAGAAGCAGACAGCTTTCAACTGTAAATTTAAAAAATACTTCTTCACAAGCTTATGCTTTGATTTCCTGATAAAGTAGTTTTTAATGTTTCTTTATTGCAGACTTTCATTAAAGATAGAACCAGGGACCAGCACCCCCCACTCTGCTGCTTCCAGAGAAGATTTAGTAGGTAAATGCTTAACAAATGTGATAAGACTTGAGGTTGTCCTGTGCATTATTTTTGAGTTGTGAACGTGGAAAATATTTGCCTGAGGCTAATAAAGAAGTGTGAAGTTTAAACACTGTATATTTGTAATAAAAAGTCTAAAGGTGATCTGTAAAGAAGGAATTGAGTCATTTTTTTAGGTTCTTGTATGTATTGTGGCACTAACTTGTTAGTGTCACTTGGGGTGAAGAGCTATTAAATATTCATTCTTTGTTGTGTCTAGACAGAAGGGCCTTCATCTAAACTTTTCATGGCACCATATGCTTCCAAAAGTGGACATTCTTCTTGGTCACTGCCAAAAGTGGTTGAAGGCAGGAGTCTGAAAATGTAGAATCAGTGGGATTTACCAGTGGAGCAAATGCAGCAACCTTTAGGATTAAAAAATATTTGTAACTGGATGGTCTGTTTGAACTAAGGGTGTTTGATTTTAATCCTGTGCAAATGCTCTAAATTGCAGGGGTTTTAATTATCAGTATATCAATGAGTTTTATTGCAGGCTGTCCCTTATAAATTGTGTTTAGGAAGTTTTGTGCTACTTTTCCCTGATTTTCTGAGAAGCAGCCCTGACACTAATTCTGAAGTGACTCAGGAGTGATGTCTTTTCCCTTCCCAGGCTCTGAAGTCGGAGCATCTCCACAAAGTGGACGGAAAAACGTTGCAGCTGAAGGAGCTTTGCTACCCCCAACCCCCCCTTCTCCTCGAAACCTGATACCCCACGGGCATAGGAAATGCCACAGCCTGGGATACAAGTCAGCATCTTCTTTAATCTGAAAATCATCTTAAACTTTGTGATTGTGTCGTGTTTCCTTACAAAAGCTGTGCTTTTTAAAAGTAGCATGATTTGTACACAGTACTTCACTTACAGACCAACTTGTGGCCAGGGAGCAAGCTCAGAACTGTAATGGTGGTATCCCAATCCAAGAGAATTAGTCAAAATAGAAAGACTGAAGTTATGATGAAAACACTAGTCAATTAGTTAACCAAAATGGCTCTTTCTGAATGACAAAACTATCACTTTTAGCAAATCAATGCCAGTGTAATTCTTTTAAATTCAAATTGAAATAACTGCTTTATTGTTATTTTTGTAGAGACCTCCTTTGTAGACTTTCATATAACTTTGTGTAGTAATGCCTGCACTAAAGTCTACACCTTTTTCCATTCAGGTGTACTTCTAATTAATACCTTGATCATTATGTCATCACTTACCTTGTGATCTTTTCAAAATGCCAGATTGTAGCGATCCAGTAATGAATAACTTCTAATGTGTAAGCTTACCTTTAATGAGCTAGAATGCAGTCCTACAGTTCAATTATGTGTTATAAGAAGACAAAAATGCCTTAGGATATTGAAAGTAATTGTTAATGTACTCCTGAGTCTCTCTTTGTTGCATGAGTATGTTGAACTTTTAAAACCAGCAATTCCTGTAGTTTGTGCACAATTGCTTGTGACTCAGCCATGATCGAGTTTGGCATGAGGAACACACTGCCTGCAATCCTTCAGGGTGTTAAACAGCTCCTGAAATGTATCACAGGTAACGCTGTAACAGTTCTGTCCTTGCTCCTTTCCAGTTTCATACACAAAATGAACACGGCTGAGTTTAAAAGTGCAACATTCCCCAACGCAGGACCAAGGCACCTCCTGGATGACAGTGTCATGGAGCCTCATGTCCCATCTCGAGGGCAGGCTGAGAGCTCCACCCTTTCCAGTGGAATTTCAATAGGTAGGAATTGAAAACATTCCCAGGCAGTATGTGTTCCCTTAATAAAGATTTTAGCACTATTGGTTGGTGATTGTACCTGCAGCAGAACTGTTCTAAAATACTGATTCTGTTTTAGAACAATTTGGGGAAGTGTAGGTGGAGGAGGGTGGCATAATTTATACACCATGAACTGGGAAATTATAAAAAAGCACTTTCCCCCCCCCCCTCCCCTTTAATGATACAACATCTGATACTCCTCTTCCTTGATGGGAGGTGGAAGGAAGTGCAGGGTGTGATTTTCTATTCTCTTTTTTTCCCCCTTAAATCAATCTAAGTCTAAAATGTCTTTTGATTGTATTTCTGTTGAAAATGCCATATTGACTTGACAGTAAGAACTGTAAATTGCTGACAGTTTTAAGAGCATAATTTCTAAATACTTCTGACTTGGCCAGGTGTAAATAGAAATCTAACCTTCAGATACCTTGAAATGTCAGAATTTACTTAATATTGCTAAGTTATTTATCTTCATATTTTTAGGATGGTAATCTTTTTGGGGAACCTCTGCTTTCTGAGTGTCTTCTGTGACAAGAGGTTCTCTTTTTTTCTTGTTGTGCACAGAATCCTTAAAGTGAAGAGAGGGCAGGACAAGTGCCTTTCTCTCAGATTTGTTAGCTTGATAGAATTTTGTGGTGTTATGCATTTCATTGGAGAACTTAATTTTAAAACACAGCTTTGCTTTTTAGCCTTCGTGGAGAGACACAAGGTCACAGATTTACAGATGATGCTGTTTTCACGAGCTGCACATCTATTTTCTTGAGGAGAAGGCCGTATCCTGAGAAAACATTAAATATTTCATGTGGAAAAAATCGAATATCTAGAGGCAATAATTTAAAAAACAAATTAATAGGTGAATCTGTTGGAATTAGACCAAATGTGTGTCACCTTTGTTGAGATATAGCATTGCCCTTTTCTCAGGGCAGTGTTTTACTCATGTTTTTTGTCTAAATATCTAAGAAACTCTCTGCAGTTGATCCTTTTTTCCAGGGTAAATTATTTCTTTACCTCCATTAGAGCCTAGCAGGGAAGGTTTGCCAGAGCTGACAGGCAGTTTTTCATGAGGTACAAGTGAGAACCAGTCACCATCCAGATATTTCAGAGAATATGGGGTTTTCCTACTCCGTCTCATCTCCGAATTTTTCAGTTCTGTTCTCTAGCTCAGCCATGACCTTATTGATTTGATGCAGTGGGGACAAAATTGCCACTTTACAAGACTTGTATAAATCACTTGTAGAACAGCAACCCTTATGCATTTTTTGCAAGATCAGCATTTGTGGTTAAAACTTCCTCTCTCCCATTCTCTTCCACCTCCAGCCTTCCCATACTCGGGTACTTTGGTTTTTTCCCTGTTTTGACAGTCCAGCAACATTATAACTTTTGCTGCTCTTGATTGTGAAAATCTCAGTGACACAGAAGATTGGTGGAGGTGCTAGAAATACGTTTGGGGGAAGAAAGGAAGTTTTGGAGGTTTGCAGTATCTGTTACTGCAGAATTCTTGGAAGTGTAAGTTGCCTGGCATTCTGTGCTGTTGCCTCAGCAGGATTTAAGGAAGTTGATTGAAGCTGCTGAGTTCCTCCATCATGTTTGAAGTAGTCTGTTTACTCAGGACTTGGAAATAGTACAGTCACTGCAGCAGAGAGGAGGTTTATGGTGTTCTACAGCACAACTTCAAAAGATGGTCAGGAAAATGTCTTCTGAATGTGTGCACTGAAAAGAGTGTTATTCCTCACCTTGCCCGTAAACGTGGATTTAAACCTCTTGCTCTAGAAACAGGACTACCTTTTTTACATATAAGCCTATATAGGACTGAACTTTTTGGATAAATGATCCCTCTTCAAAACGAGGACAGAGTTTCTGCTATGCCAGCACCTTGAATGTGCCTTTAAAGACATCTGTAATACTTCTTTAAATCACTCTTGTGTTTTGAGGGCTCAGAGGTGTTCAGGCGTTTCCAGTCCTTTCATATTGGAGGATCTGATATAATCTGCCTCTGTGTTAACTATCAAAGCAACAGCAGTGCAACAGCAGTGTCTGCAGGAATCCAGCAGTGTGTGTCTCTAAACTAAAAACACGCCTTCAAGGGATAATGCACTTTTTTGGTTGCGTTGTGTTGGGAAGGACTGGCAATCTGTTCTGGGAATTCTGGTGCAGAGAATACCCAAAATTTTTACATCAATTAATCTTTCAGATATGAAGGATATTTTTCATTGCAGTGAACGATTCTTAAAGCAGCAGCAGTGCAGAAAGTGAGCCAGGCAGGGGATTTGCTGAAAACAGGCCAATCTGTGACATGACAGCCACGGTCAGAGACCTTTATGAGATTCTTTTCTTCATGTCAGGGATTGGAGGCTGATTGTGTGCTTTTAACTCATTCTGTAAATAACCTGGAACTCAAAAAATATTAAAGATACAACCCCTTTTATATTAATGTCTTGTGCTTGGGTCAAAAGAGCTCTTGTTCCTGAAGCCATGGGACTGTGTTCCAGAGCTGAGGATGGTGTACTATGCTGGAGTGAGGGAGATGTACATCTGGATCTGTTGCCATCTTCCTTTATAACATAAGTGCTTGTTAGCTGAACAGAAGTGAGAAATCTTTTTCCAGCAGTGAATGGACTATCCTAATTAGAAGGAAGAAACACTTCTCCAGTCCTTTATACAGTGTCAGATGGGAAATGTCCTCTTGAGTTCAGGAATGTAACAAGAGGAAATGGTCTCTTGTAGGTTTTAGATGTTCATAATGTAGACAGTTGCATTTGAGCTGGGGATAATTGGAGCTCTTCATGATCACAAAGAGAATTATGATCTCTAAGGTTATGATTCATCTCCTTCTTAGGTGGGTGGCTAAAAAGAGGTTATATGACTCGAGTCCTTAAACCCCCACTTTATTTCTGTTGATTTCAAACAGACTTTTGAGGGACAACGCATGAAAACACAGAATAGTGCTGAAAATGTCTGTTTTGTGCAGACAATCCAGAATATCTGCTTTCAGTAAACTGGGACAGGTGCTTTTACTTTGCAGTGAGAGGTTATTGAGAATCCCCAGTCCTTGCTATCAGCAAGTCCTAAAGCTACAAGGTGTCTTTGTTCTGCAGTGGCTGTGTTTGTTTTGATGAGGTCACTGTGTTTTGGTGAGGTCACTGTGTACACTCTTTCCCTTCCGAGATCTAAGCATTGCTCTTGGCTGGGTTCAAGGAACCACCTGCATCCTCCTAGCACCTGTTCTTCTGCCTGTATTTGCCTGCTGTCACCTCCTCACCCAAAAGTAGGATAAATTAAGGTGCTTTTACTAGATCGTGGTTCCACTCAGAAATAGCATGAATTTCCTTTATTTCGTAAGATATTTTTCTTAAGAATATATGGTTTTCTGTTACTTCCCGATTTTCTTATGCTTTTAAAGTATTTCTGTATTGCTTAAGGGTGCTCTTAAGTATCTTTGCAGCAGTGAGATTGTTTCATTATTCTCAGAAGTTTTGGATTTCCACCGTTTCTTACAGTTCAGCTCTGCTACATTACTGGATTTTTTTTCTCAAACTGAGTGTGTTTACAATGGCTAATTGCTCAGATAATTCTGTAGTAAAGGGACAGTGTAAAATTGGCCCTTCTTTCCACATATTGCTTCTGCGAGGCTTTTCTCCTCCTACAGCACCAAACCTACAGGATGCAAAGTTATTTTGCTAAGGAGGTTATGTTTTTCAAGAGTGCTGTCTCATGTATACTGCTTAAAAACAGATGTCTCAAGGTGTGAACACAGAAATACTCTGCTGAAACTGAGAATGTAACTTCAGGTGTTTAAAAATCCGGAGGAAGCAGGTATGGATTGTTTTTTTAGCAGTGTTGGAGGCAAATTCTATTCTAACTTTGGAGTGTTTTCTTTCTCAAATTGTTTCTTTTTCCACTTACTTTTCCTAATCTACAGTGATATGGATGAAAGCTCTGGAAAAACTAAGGCTCTTGAACACTGGCCTTTGTTTGTGTGTTGCAATCACTTGAGAATAACTTTAGCCTTTGTTCTAATGCAATCAGAGGAATTAATGCTGCAGAGTCCAAGGAAGGTGTTTTGAATCAGTGTGAATTAATGTAAGAAAGTGCCTTGTAAAAACAGTACATTTCCAAACCTAAGAGAATATCAGCATTTTAATGAAATCCTCTATTAAGTAACCACCTCTAAGTTACTGAATCCTACAAGGGATTATATTTCTCTTTAAATAAATGAAGTATAGGTGTAGGTATATAGTGTGTGCATTTACCTTCAGGGGTTTTGGCAGCCTATACAGTAGGGAAGACCTGTGCACAGCCAGTGGGTGTGTTTGATTCCTCACCCTGTAGTTTGCTGTTGAGCTGTTTAGGACTCTGAGTCATCTGATCAAAAGTTTGGGTAGGGTTTCGGGAAGAATAAATGTGTTGGGGTTTTTAATATATTTCCTTTAAATATCCCTGAATGTGGATACCCTGGTTTGCTATTGTGAATTACTTCATTAGTGATAAGGTAAATGAAAAAGCTGTATAATATTAGAGGTTTAAAAATGCACCTGTAGGTGCCTGGGTTTGAGAGGAGGAGAGGGATGTATTCTAGCACCCCAATTCTTCCCCAATCCTTATTAGTGTTGTTTGATCCAAGGCTTGTGCTCTGGGTGTGTTGCAGTTAATGCAGTTGTACAACTCCTGTTTCTCCCCATCTTTATCCATTTGGTTATTTGCTTTTGTTAGTTTTTCACCATGAAGCTCATTGTCAGTGATGGTAGTAAAGGTTTCTGTTGATTCTCTGGCATGATGCTGCTTGAGTCTTCCCACCATCCTGCTTTGGTTTAACTAGAGAGCCAAAGCTGAGCTACTGAACTTCAGAGTGGTTAAATGGTAATGAACTACATATGAGGATTTTCAGTGTGATCATGAACCCAGCAAAGCAGAACAGAACTTTTAGGGCATGGAAACCATCTTCATGGTGTTAGCTGGGCTGTGTTGTGCTACAGCCATTGATGTTCAGGCCTCTTGACCAATTTTTTTGTGTTTTCACATTAGAATTTCAAGCTCTATCAGGGCAGTCACCAGCCCTGGAAACACAGTGTAACTGGAGCCAAGAGAGTGTCGATGACAGATTTGGGAAGGGGAAAGAATTTTTAGTCTGAATACTTTTTAAACTCTTTGGGGTTGGTTTGTTTATATTAACACCTGTTTGACTTTGGGGAGTAACTTCTGGATGAAGGAAGCCTGTGTTAAGTGTTCAATATCCCCAGACTTGGGGCAGTGAGTGGATGCCGTGACCGGGGGAATGGGTGTGGAATAGTTTAGGCATCACGTGTGATCCCTATCACACAACTGGGAACCTCAGGCTGTTTGTGTGGCTGGAGCACAGACAGTGCACGTGCACATCTACAAATGTGAACAGAAAATTCACATCTGAACCGAGCTGCTGTGCTGGAGCTCCATAAACAGTCCTGAACCTTCTCAGATAATCACCAGCACAGTTAGCAAAAAAACCATTTTGCCAGTTGTGCTGTTATTCCTAAACTAGGAAAAAACCTTCATATTAAGGAGTAAAGATAAACACAACCCAGATATTTTTTTTTAATCCTGCACAAGAGTTATTTAATTTTATTAGCAATGAAGAAAACCAGGAAGATAGTGGCCCGTGTTAAGTGGCTTCTTACATGAAGCCAAAACGTGTTTAGAGCAGTAATAGCAAAGACTTACACTACCTAGGATTTGTTATGAAGTTTAACCTGAAGACTTGCTCGAGGTTGTTGGAAAAACTCAAATATTGAGTACATACTTGAGAAGAATTTAAGAAGGTGATATATTTTTAGAGTACTGAATGAATGAAATATTTCCAGTTGAGGTGACAGTCAAATAGTGCACTTAATGTTTAAACAGAACTTGGCTAGACATCTAACTTTTATTAAGTTAAAAACAGTCCCTTTTACTTCTGTTTTGTTTTGGAAGGAGGGTGTAATGTATATTCTTTTGGTTTTCAGGAAAGGTTTTTTTTTTTTTTAGTATCAGAACTTTTGTTGTGCAAAATACCTCGTCTAGTTTTTTAGAATCTGGAGATATTCTATATGGATGATAGAGGTATAGTCAAATGCTAAAATTCAGTCTTTTCTAGGTTTTTGTTACAATTTTTTACAACCTGTAAAAAAACCATTTAATCAATAGCTGTGATGTTTGGCCCAAGTTTTTTACAAATTGACATTGCTCTTAAAAGTGTAATTGGAAATTTCTGTATAGATTAAACTTTTAAGTGAAACTTTTTGTTTACAAAGCCCCCAAATTCATTCAAGTTTTCTAACTGTACTGATACTGTAGCAAGGATTGTCACTTTCTGACAGATGACATTTCAGCTCTTCCTCTAAATTGCTTTGCATTTTTAGAAAGCAGCACTTGCTTTTAAATCTGTCTGTAGTGTACGTAGTACAGCAATTGAATTACAGCTTTATTAGCCAAGCTAATACAGTTGCCATCAAAATGTCATTTCAGGTAGAATTTTAATGTATCAGCCTACTTTAAATATAAAGAATTACTGCATAATACAGTCTTATTACTGGGGCTTAATTGTGTGGATTTCTATCACATGGGCCTCAATTAAGTAGAGCTCATATTAAAGTTGCACTTCTTGTTAGTATAAAGCTAAATCTAAGCAGTAATAAGGAAATAAATAAGATTCTAAGTGTCCCTAATAGCTTCAGTGTTGGATGAGTGACTTGACAGGAATTGCTGCACTGTTTTGCAGGACAGATTGCTCCAAGTAACCACAAAGAAAATCTCAATTACGTGCAAGGAAAACTTCTTTCATATGTGGTTGAAACCTCCCTTCCTAATTGTCATTCCACCTGCTGGAAGGACCTCAGCACTTGAAAATCTTCCTGGAAGAGATTCTACTACAAGACAGTCAGCTGGGAGGTCTTACCCCAAATATCTCCTTCAAGTTGTCTCTGAATTCTTACCTCTCCTTCTGTCTCTTCATCCCCAAACCATGTTACTTATTTATTTGAAGAGACTTTATGTGTCACCTTACAGAGGAAGGCAGCTGTGGTTTTGGTAGGGTGAAATAAATCACTGAGTTCCCCACTGTGACATGGATGTAGAGTTTGCTGAAAATATTAAATGACAGGTTTTTTTCCTCACAGGAAATGATGAGCATTGTTCTGGAACTTTGCAAAGACTTTTACTGTAACAGCAGGTTCCACCTGAATTGGTTGGTTACTTGTTGGATATATTACTTCTCTTCTTGCAGCCCTTTATTCCCAGCTTAGGAGTCAGTAGCTCCACTGGAATGTCACTTTTATGTCTCTCAGCTTCTTCCCCTATACAAATCTCTTTTACTGCAATGTTGGTGTGAACCAGGTTAGGTTTTGCTTTGAGAAAAATGCAGAATAAGCTGGGACCAAGTTATCTACTATCCCTTAGAGATGATGTTAATATGAGGATGTTGAGCTAATGTTTGCACAAGAGGCATCTCAGTTGAGCTGGCAGATTAAGGCATGTCTTTTCTCTTGGATTTTGCACAGAGAAAACTTGAGTCCATGCTGAGATTTTCATGGCTCTTGGCTGGAATTATTCCTGCTGTGTGTGACACTTTATTGCCTCCATGTTTACTCTGTGTTTACTCAGTGAATATCCAGACTTACTTTGTACAGGGCACCACTTTTCCCTGCTGATTTTCTGCGTAAAATTACTGGGAATTTGTTCCCATTTTCAGCTGCTGTTTCTCTGGGAGAACCCTTAAGTAAGGTGCATTGATTTAGATTTTTTTTTTTATTGGTTTTGCTTTCTGGTTTGTTTGAAAATAACTGAGTAAATTCTTCCTTTGAACACTCTGTATAGTACAGTTAGTAATTGAAGCTACTGAGTTCTGTTAACAGTGTTTCTATACTGATATATATTTACTGACTTTTAACAACATTACAGATAACACCCACCTTGTATCTGTACTTAAATAGTCATTTTCAGCCTAATGGGATTTACTGTAACTGTAAAGTTACTGTGTTATTTGTGGGCATGCCAAGATGAATGCATTAGATATTGGATTTTGTGATTTTTTCCTCTACTGTCAGCGTTGAAAATAAGATACTTGTGGTAACACTGGATTTGTTTACAAAGCACAGAAGGAAGTAATGCTGTTGTGATCTGATAAAGTAAGTGGGAGATAGCTTTAAAAAGTTGTTTAAGGCTTCTCAAATCATGTGTTGGAGACTCAGCAATGAATTTGCACTTCAGTGTTGTGACCATGTATGACTTCATAAGGAATTATTTCAATAAGTGACCTTTTCTTTTTAAATGCTTGTTGTGTTAATCAGACAAATCTTCATTTTTGGTGTTCTTTAAATTTTGTAAACACCTTTCCCACTTACTAGTGCTCCTTTTCTTCAACTTCTTAATGTGCACCTAGACCTTGTCCCTTCAAATCTCTGGCGCAGTTCATGTGAAATTCCTGAAGCAAATTACGAAGTATTTTCCTTGCAGTGTTTTACTGAAGCGTTTTTACACATTTAATCTCAAATATTGTGTTGAGAGACATCGTTGAAATGGATCAATTGTAGATGCTGAAATAGTGTCATTCATTCTTATCTTTTTCTAGGTAGCAGTGATGGTTCTGAACTCAGTGAAGAGACTTCCTGGCCAGCATTTGAAAGGTAAGAAAAACCTGTGTTTCTCTGTTCACATTGCTGCCTAAAATCTCTCACTCAGTCCTCAAAATGATTCTTTATTTTAGTGATCTAGAGGTCTTCTGTATGTAAGAACACTGAAAAACTGTAGTAAGTTCACTGGATCTGTTAAAGCAGCAGAGAAGTACCTTTTGCTCACTAATAGTTAACAGGACTTTTGTCTAATCGGGTGTTTACTCATTGCACACATTCTTTAAGTAGCTCAGCCAGAGAACCCTTAGACCCCAAAGCATTTTTATATATGTGGATATTTTGTGTGTGCTGTTCATGTGACCCATCTGGTTTTCATTTTCACTTCCCCTGAGACACTTCACCCGTTTGTGATCCCTTTGCTCTCCTGTCATTGACACTGTCACCTCTTTTGCCTCTGCTTTTCATGTCGTTGTTACTCCTGTTACACAGGAAAACACAGAAATGCCCCTTGCTGATGTCTGGTTTTGTGCTCCACAATTAACATGTTCCTCCTTATCCAACACCTTCAAAGGCCCAGGTGACAGTGACCATGTGAGCCCCTTTCCATGTTGTATTTGAGAATGTGGAAAAGGACCAACAACTGTAGTTTTAATATAGAAAAAGGTGGAATATTCACCTTCCCACAGCTGAGCAAGATGCACAATAAATTGTGTTGTTTGCTTCTATAACGCAATTTCAGGTAACCCATCAGCCTCAGAGCTGCCATGGATGACCTTTCCTACCATGCTTTGACATTTTTAGTAGGAATTTTTGTCAAAGAACTTTATAGTCGGTACCACTGTTACCACAAACCTTATATTCTGCTTGAAATCACTGAAGCAGTTAAAGGTCTCTGCTAATTTTGGGAAAAGCCTTTGAAAATCTCTCTGTGCCTAAGGCGAACTCTTGGATGTTTCGTGCTACAAATATGGATACATGCATGAGGAAAGGCTCTTAGGATTCCGTTAGGTAATCAGTGGGAATGTTCCATGTGAGCATAGAAAGAAAACGGGGGCAGAAAGGAAATCTCAGACTTGGGGCCTGCATCACAGGGCACGTAAAACATTCAAAAGGTTTTCTTTCTTTCCCTTTCCTGCTGCATTATGGAATCATTCAAGTAATTTTTCAAAGATAAAAATTATATGGAAAAGCCCTTAAACAAAATGGGGAGCTGAGTGCTTTTAGCATAAGAAACTTAAAAATTTTAGTTAGGTTTAAACTTGTGGTAGCACTCCTCGGAACTGTCATGGGGGCTCCTGAGTCAAAGCAGAGGGTTTTCATCCCTGTCCTAATGAGAACTGACAGGCCCAGACTCTCCCAGTTAGAAGGTTTACTCCGTGTGAAACAGTGAAGTCAGAAGAACCCTCCTCCAAACTCCACTTGCCTTCCATACTTTCCTTTTTCCTGAGAGAGCTCTTTGAGAACCCTGTTTGAAGCTGCACGTGTTTCAGGGTGAGTTCTCTTGCCTGATTCCAGGGAAAGGGATGGGGTTCCTTACAGGCATTCCAAACACAGTGTGTGAAATTCCTAGAGATATGCAGCAACCTTGAGTCTCTTCCTTCATTTATAAGATGCTGAAGCACATTTTGGAATTTAATACACTGACATGCAAGCGTTAAAATTTAAGATCACTAGAGCAGGCGTCTCTAGTTTTGGTCTGTACAGTGGGTTTCTATTCTTTATAAGAATCTTTAAGTGAGGGAGAGGCATTAGTTGTCTGGAATTAACAGCTCTGGCAAAATTAGGATAAATCCAGTGTTATTAATGACTACTTTCTATGCAGCTTGTGTGTGTGCATACTCATAGAAATTGAAACCATTTTTTCTAGTAACATCTAAAGTCAGATTTAAAGACAAGTTTTATTAGTGTGGTTCCTTTGCATTGATTTAATCTAACAACTAAATGCAGGCTTTGCTCTCAAAATATATTATTCTTCAGTGCCAATAAAACACTTCAGTATTATGAGTTCTGACAAAGAGAACATCCGATGAAATCAAAACCCGTGGTGTCTCTCTGCATGCGTTTTTCTGAACAAAATTATCCTCTGTTTCTGATGTGGAAGAAGTGGCTTTGTGATATGCACACAAAAATAGTTCTGTGCTGTTTTAGCAGTCGTGCTGTTTGTGTGGATAAAAGTATATGTAATACATACAATTTATAATGGAATCCAACAGGAACAGGTTGTACCATTCTCTCGGTCCGGGGACAAGAGTGTCACGAAATGGCCATCGAGGCCACATGAAGGCCAGCAGGTACAATCCCACTGCACACAGAGGTGTCCAACCTTCCCTCTGGTGTTGGTGATTTGGTTTGGTTTGGTTTCATAATTAAGTGGGTGTTTTCTGATGTTATCTTTCTAACTTACATGTCAAAATAAAAGGTAGAGACCTTTTTCTTCAGACTTAAAAACTTTTCTGTGCCTTTACTCTATGTCACCATAAGGACTTTTGTTCATTCTGGTCTGCAAATCCAAATTCTGAACCGTGGGATCTTTCTGTCAAGGCTTAAAGATGTTTGGCCAGGGTAGCTTTTGCACTGCCTGCCACTGTGGAGCAGTGCTGGGAGTTCCCATGGGGACAGTGAAGCTGCTTCTGGTGCTGATGGATGGCATTCCACGTGTTTTCTTTGCTGGCAGTTCTGCATTGAATTTCTTTGCTCCTCTTCACTGAAATCAGAGATGTGCCTAAAAAAAGTAACACATTCAAATTGCCCCCAGTTTATTATATATAATATTATTTGCAAGCTGACAGAGTAACATAACTGATTATTCTGACAAATTAAAGTACAAATCCTGCCTCCAGCTGTGTGTCACTCTAGTTGGGAAAGAGATGGCCATTAACCGTGAAACCTTTGTCACATTAAGAACCAAGCATTGTCTCATGTTTGCATCTGTCAGTGTCCAAAATTGTCTCCATATCATCATCCTCTGTAGGTGCTGCAGTGAAAAGGTTTGCCAGATTTCCAGCTTACTTTGAACATTTGTGAACATTAGGATGGATGAAACAGCAAATCCTGACTTACTTGGAAATGATTTTTGGGTGCTGTTCAATCTCTTGGCTTTTCTGGAAAGCTGCTGGGTCCAGCACTTCAGCCACACGCTCTGATTGACATTTGCTGAAATGATTCCTCGTGTAACTTTTCTTTGATCGAAAATGGTTTTGGAGCCAGTCAGCTTTGTGATTTTAATCAAGCTTAGTTTTGTTTTCACAGTGCTGTACCTGGCATTTGTTTCAGCCCGTTGCTCTCAGATCCTACATAGGGCAGGCAATTAGAGCACCAGTGACATTAAAACACCTTAAAGCTGTGGTTTGGGTTTCTACTCTTTATTCCTGCTCCTGCCCACTCTTCCTGCTTTCAGATATTTTAAAGACTGTGCATGTTTGAGCTGTGCTTTGGTTTGGATGTGCTAATGATTCCAGTGTTTCTAACCAAAAACTACTCAAGTCTTTCTTGCAAGGGCTGAAGGAGAGGTTTAACATGTACAGCAACTGTACAAATGCACTTCAGACGTTTGCTTTTTAAGATTAATTGTTCTTGTCTTTCAGTTGTGTTTTGAGATTTAATTTTTTTAATTAAGGATTTAATTACCTGCTTGGCTAATTAATTTTTCCGATCACTTTTGCTTGCGAGTGTAAAATCCACAACAGCAATTCCTTGTAACAGCCAAAGTCTTTTTCCACAATGAAGTCCAATAAATAAAAAGTTGACATTCCTAAATTACAATAAAGGTATTTGCATTAGGTTTTTGGTAATGGTTGGAAAACTACTTTAGGAAAAATATTTTTTCACACAAATCTTCACATGCTCCTTTCAGCTCTCTAGAATCTGAAGATTTGGCTGTTCATTTGTATCCAGGAGCAGTTACTATTCAAGGTGTTCTCAGGAGGAAGACTTTGTTGAAAGAAGGCAAAAAACCTACAGTAAGATACTTTTTTTTAATTAATTTTCTCACCTTCTTCCTTTGCCCAGTTATAAAATAGGAAAATGGTCATTGGGCAACTAATTCAAGTGTCTGAGGTCTCCTCTGCCTTGCTGGTTAAGATTTAGGGTCACTGCTAGAGTTTTCATTCTTCTGTTTGGTACATTTATTCAGTTTATAAGTCTGTACCCATAATCTAGGGAGTAGGAGAGAAGGAAACGCTACATAAAATTTTCTGCAAGTACTGATGACTTTAAAGGAGAGGATTGTGTTTTGTCTTCCTTAACAGTAGGTAAATCCTAACAGTTTATCAACTGATAGTAACCATTAGCATTTGATAATAACCATTAGCATTTGATAATAACCATTAGCATTTGCTCTGCAGATGCTTGATTATGAATTATAAATCAAAGTACATATTCATGAGAATACCTTATGGCAGTACCCAAAATGGAAAAGAAAATGGACAGATTGACTCAATGAAGTGTTCAGTAGGGGTTGCAGGAAGTATAGAGTGAGATGCAGAACATTTTTCTCAGATTAGTGAGGAAAGGCACACGTTCTTTCTGCTCTCTGGATTTTTCCTGCATTCACAGGCCTGCACGAATAACAAACAGCAGCTTTGGAGACGTGGCTGATGGCTTGGCTGGGCAGTCAGTGCTGTCATGTTCTTGCAGGATGATGTGATGCCTCCTGTTTTACAGCTCAGTGTTATGAACCGTTTCACTTACCCATTGCACTTGGTTTTTTTTTCCTCCTTTCTCCCCAGGTAGCATCTTGGACGAAATACTGGGTAGCACTGTGTGGAACCCAGCTCTTCTACTACGCTGCAAAATCCCTGAAGGCCACAGAGAGAAAACATGTATGTAAACCAGGCCTGTTCCAGTATCATCTGCCAAAATTAAAATGTGATTTCCTGATGTAAACACTGAGAGTAGTTCAGGCCTTGCCTGATTTCTGGTCAGCACCATCCTGTCTCCCAGTCACTCAGTCACCTCATATGGATATACCCGAGGGAAATATCATTTACATTTATGTGCTACACCAAGAACATCTGCTTCGCATCTGCCATGTGTCTCTTTGAGTTTGTTGGTCTGTAAGGAAGGGAACTCTGTCCTTGGGTCTGTCCCTTTTCTAAGGTAGAAATCCTCTTTTGATGATCTGAGTGCTGCAGCAACTTGAAATCCAAACAAGCACCGATGAGGAAAGCCTGGGAAGTCACAGCATACAACATTAAACATGTACTAATTTCATGTGGTAGAACTACACTATTCTCTTTTTCTGTATAATCATGTATTCCATTAGCACAAAACACTTAATCTGTTCAGCAGAGAGCTGAATGATGCTCCTTTTACTCGCTGCAGCTTTATTTGAAAGAAGCTAAAAATATTTTGCTTATGTGGGGAAGGAGTAAGAGGATTTTCTGTACCTGTCCCAGGGATGTTATGGTGTGCATGGTTCCTGTTTAATGCTCCTGGTTAATTATAATGATTCTGTTAAGAAGCTGGATAAAATTTGAGTAACTTGAGTCTTTTTCTGAGTTCATTCACTACTCAGAAAATCTTTACTAACAGTTCCCTTGGCCTGTGTTTCAGGTTAATTTATGACAACTGTCACTGAAAAACATTTGCTTTGCATAAAGCTTATGTAATTTTGCAAACTGAGATGTGCTCATGGAATCCTTGTGAAAGGGACTTTATTTCTTTTTGGTACAAAACACTGCTTTCTTATCCCAACATTTTCATATTCAGAGGGTAGAGATTTGAAGCTTAAGATTTCTGCTTAGTAGGCTCCTGGGTGGTTGAAGTTGCTGTGTGGGAAGTTTGTGTGTAATGTTGTCTTAATTTAAAAAAAAAAAAAATTATTGTTTTCCACTTTTATTGAAAATTCATTAGGAAACAGTATTCTAATACTCAGAGTAGTTTAGTAATAGCTAATTACTTGTAGAAATATTTGCATGGTTTCTTTGCCATCCACTCCCCACTAGGTTTGCTTAGGTGAGGTCAAAACTACTTAATTTGTCTTGCCAGTTAAGACAATACTAGCCCAGGCTAAAGGTCTATTGGCCAGGCATCTATCTCCTGGCTCTCCTGGGAGAATTGTTTGGATGTATTTGTCTCTGGTTCCAGTGAAAACTTTATGGAAGGATTCAGTCTCATTAGAAGGAAAGGTAGCTGGAAAGAGCAGACTAGTAAGCTCTTATGAGCAGAAATGCCAAGTACTAAAGAAAAAGTACCAAGAGAGAACTGGTGCTGGCATTGTGTCACTCACAGTTAGTTGCTTGTTTTTTCTGGAAACACTGAGAAATGGAAAAGAAATTTTTGGTGATGTCAGACTTTGTGTTCCTGTTACTGCTGTGATTCCTGCAGGCTCTGTGCCAAAATTGCATTTTGTTTCCTTTTAAGAATAGAATGTGCTTTTGTAAGTCTCTCTTATCCACTGTCCACCACAAAATTATGGAGGACTTTACCAGACTTGTATCTATTCGTTCAGAAGCTTCTTTTTCACTTTTCTGTATTAACATTTTAAAACAATCTAAATAACGTGCAAGTTTAGAGAACGTGGAAAAATTGCATAGTGGGTAGTTATATTGTTTGGAAATTCAGTATGTTGAATTTTTGTTGTGGTCCATTTGCTTACACGTTTCCTTCAGAATCACGATTTTAATCATTTAAATGGTCCTGCCCTTTCTTTAGACAGAAGTAAATGAAGGAAAAAGGTGCAAAGTCTGGTACCTGATCCTCCTGAGTCTCTGTTACTGCAAAAGCCTTTCCTTTGGCTTGAAATGCTGTCACAGCCATTTAAAGTGCTCTTTGAGAAATTGTTTTCTGAACCTCTTGAATTGACTTTTAATATTCCCCAAGTCACCGATGTGTTGTGATACCCACAACAACTAAACTCCTGGTGAACTGGTTCTTAGGCTAGTGCTCAAGAAGCCAAAATCCGTCTCTCATCCTGGTGTTTTCACGTTTCTCTGTCCAGGGATGATCCAGCAGAGCAGTTAAGGCAGATAGAGGAGAGGAGGCATTTGAGTCCAGGATGCTGGCAGGATTTCCCACCAGGAGCCTGCCAGCCTCGTGGCTTGCAAACACTGAGTGGAGTTTGAGCAAGGCAATTCCCAGGAAAGGGAGGAGCAGGAGTGGTAGTTAAAAGCAATGACTGCTGGAGCAGATTAATTTTTTTTTAATAGTTGGCTCTGTGAGGTTGGATTGAACTATCCAGCACAACCTTGGATTTGGCTGTACACAGCTCATGTCTTGCTTTGAGGTTTTTAGGGCAGTGAACATACTTTGTTCTGTTTTGTGGATGCAAAGCCTGTTGTGAATTCTCAGTCTGTGATCTGGTTTCCCAGGCACAGTCAAGGTGAAAATATTGTAGTAACTATTAGCTGTGGTTTGGGTTGTCTTTTATTTACACAAATAGTTCCCAGTGAATGCTCACAGTGAACCAACCTCTGCTTCAGAGGTTATTATAGCACAGAGTATGATCTTTATGCTGAAATTAAGGTGGAAAATAACCTGGTAACTGCTGTAGGAGCCTGAGGTTGAGGGATCAAGGGGAGAGGCTCCAGTTTATTAAACAGCCTAATAATAAGTGGTCAGTGACTTGTCCAGCTGCTCTGCCTGTGTTGTAGTTCGAGCCTGGCTATCCATGGCATAGATTTCCATCTGTTGCACTGCAGGGTTACTGTGCAAAGCCTCACCTTTTGTTCTGGAATCTGTGGTTGCAGTTTCAGAAAGAAAGTTAATCAGGAGAGAATGAACTGCAGATGGTCAATCATCCACAGATAGTTGGAGCATGAGTATATCCTCCAAATACTATCCAGTGATATTCCTAAGAGGTTTGCTCTGCAAAATACAGAGATTCAAGGTTAGATCTAGATTTGGGGTTTTTTTACTGTCTGATGCTGTCTACTTGGAATCAGGCTTCTTTTTCAAAGACCAATACATTGGAGATTTACCTCAGCAAAATATTCCAATCATCTTCTGGAGCCATTTAAACAACTGTCTTCTCTGCTTCCTTTCTCAAGGCCTCTGTGACATGGAAAGGAACGCTGGCAACAAAAGAGTCAGTCTGCTATATAAAGTTTCCTGGCTGGAGCTCTCATGGTAAATGTGTCTTGATTACAGGCATGCTTTTGACCATTCTGCTGCTGCAATTGCTCCAAGCACTTGGAATGGGCCAACAGTCAAAGCTCTTCCAGGCTTATAATAGCCAACCTCTTTGGAAAATTACATCACTAAAATCCCTGTGTAATTCAGCAGAAAGGGCAAGAAATCCCCTCCCTTTAGGACACGGGCAAGCCAGCTCTTCTTCTCATGCCTGTGGTCAAAGACCAAGGAGTGCATCCAGTATTGTGTGTGTTCCAGATGTGAATCTGGTTGAGAGGAAGAGGTGCTGTAATACCTGCCTGTGACAAACTTTCTTGTGCTGTATCTCCTAAGAAAGGCTGCTACATGTAACAAGCCTTGATTTTAAAAAGTGAACAGCTCTCAGTTATTACTGCAGTAATGGAGAATTGTGTATAATGAGCATGTTTATAATGAGCACAGAGATGTGGCACAGCACAGTCTGACAGGAATGTGTGTACAGTGCTTAAGGTTTTATCTCATATGCTGAAATGGTACCCACAAAAAAGCCTCTGTGGCAGAACTGTAGCACTGATGCACCTTTAGAAAAGGACAGTGTGAGGACAGCCACTTGAACTTAGTATTAAAATGAGCATTCACCCTGAAACATGTGAATACACCCGTAAAATAACTGTTTAAAGTGATTAGACTGGAGAATCTTGCCAATTTCTGTGATGACATAGCGTGCATGAGAGATTTTTCCATGTTTGTAGGTACTTGGAAAGGAAACAGAGACTTTTGGAGGCTTCACACACTTGAGCACGAACCCTTGTTTGTTCCAAGCCTTCCATTGCGTGTTATAATCAGAATTAGATCCATTTATTAGCAGTCTAGAAAATGTGGTAGTTGTAGCTCAGGCACTTTCACAGAAATACCCTGAGGAAGAATGCTGTTATTCTAAGAAGGATGTTCAGCCACTGAGAAAATGATCTGAATGTTAGAAAGCTGTAAAATCTCAACAGGAGATGTGGAGGAGGAGATTTGTAGGTGCTAAAAGGTTGGAATGAAAAGTCTGTTCACAGATTAATTCGGAGGTTTTGATTCAAAGATTTATGTCTAAATGCCTTTGAGCTCAGAACAACAGCAACAAAACTCGGTCATGTGAAGCCTGGTGCCAGAGCTGTGCAGTTTTCCATGTGTATAATAAGCATCATTCCAGTGGCCTATATTACAAAAAAGCAAATAAGAACCAGGAACATTAAATTACAATGAAGCTTTCATTCCCTTCATGTTAACAAAGCAGGCTTGCTGTTAGCAAGGCTCTGTGCATCAGTGGAGAATGAGCTGCCCTGGGGGACTGTGTAAACATGGAATGCTGATCCAGGGATGGAAAGCTGACGTGTTTCAGGCGATGATGGACTGATGCTGGCAGGAAACACTTTCCTCGTGTGGAGCTTTTTGCTTTTTGGAGAAGTACCATAATTAACTAATTGTTTTGAATGAAATTAAAAAGCCAGAGGCTCCAGCAGTTTGCATTGCATGGCAATGCCACGTATTGGATACCTGTTGGGATGTGTAACTAAGATAGGAGATGTGCTGTTTTCATGAAACTCTAGAAAAGAGTGCCATTCAAAAGGTTCATTGTTGATCTGTAACCTATTAAAACTGCTTTGTGACTCAGATTTGCATCTCTGAAAAGGACCTACCTACTAATGCTTTAGGACTACTTGGAAGTTTGTAATTTGCAGGTCCCTTTAAAGTGTAGGCTTTGTCATCTTTTCTTTTTTTTTTTGAGGCAATGTCATCAGTAGGCCCATAGCAAGTTCTGAATATACAGTTTTTCATTACAGACTGACATTACTTACTGACTCCTCAAAGAAATTGTAGTTTCTGTTTGGAAAGGAGTTGTTATCCAGCCCTCACAGTAATGAAATGTTGTCTGATAGAGCTTTATAATTTACTTCCTCCTCTTCTGAGACATTACCACATGTGTCCACCCCCCAAAGACAGTGAGTTATTTAACTTTAGTGTACATATGTAGAGAGACTGGACTCTTAAACTATTTTGAACTTGGTTAAAATGCTTTTTGTTTCAAATAGCAGTCTGACATTTGCTCACTTCAAGTCACGATGGATTTTAAACTGAGGTTTAAAATGTACCTGGTTGGGCAAGTCCCAGACAGATAAACTTATCTGGACAGTGGCTTCAAACTGACAGAGGGCAGGTCTAGATTGGATATTAGGAAGGAATTCTTCCCTGTGGGTGGGGAGGCCCTGGCACAGGTTGCCCAGAGAAGCTGTGGCTGCCCCATCCCTGGAAGTGCTCAAGGCCAGGCTGGACAGGGCTTGGAGAAACCTGGGATAGTGGAAGATGTCCCTGCCCATGTTAGGGGGTGGAACTGGATGATCTTCAAGGTTCCTTCCAACCCACACCATTCTGGGATTCTGTGATGATTCTACAACATTCCAGGTCTTCAGTTAATCTATAGCACAGATTAGAATAACTGACATTAGACTTGCAATGGAACTTTATTTATAAAGTAATTGTATTCTCATGCAGAGAACATTCTTACAGTCTCTTACTTTGCTCATGACACCCTCAAACTTATTAGCAGTAATACTTTCTTTGGTTGAACCAGAGCTCTATTTTAGTAATATTAAAGCAATATTTCTAAAATGAAAAAAAGTAACCTGATGCTTAATGCTGTGCATCAGCCATGTGGCATTAGAATGAAGAATAAAAATATTTTAGAACTACAGGTTAGTTTTAATGACTTAAAGCTAAAACAGTCTCAAGAATGTTTTATGATTTCTAATAATATAATTAAAGAGAGATCCAAATTACTGTGATAATAAAGAGGTTGGAATGGGAATCCACAAGGCAGGTGGAAAAACGTCTGATAAGGACAAGGATATAGCAGAGTTGGATCTGCTGTGCAAAGGAGTGAGGTAAAGCACTGCAGAGGGTGGGAGTGCTGGGATTGATGGGAAAAGCCTCTGTTGGACCCATCAATGCAGGAAGAGGAGACCTGGCAGCTGAAGTCATGAGAGAACAGAATGAATTAGGGTTGGGGAGTGGGTGGGACTGCCTGAGCCTCTAAGGAGAGGAGGTACTAATAGATGAACAAGGAGACGTGGGAGAAGGAAGCTTGTGGTTTGGAGATAAGTTGGATTTAATGGGTGAGAAGAGCTTGGAACTCAGAAAGCCTGAGACGTAGAAAGTAATACTGACCGAGTGAATGAAAAACAGTGGCATCAAGGAGCTGTCAAGAGAGGGACTAGTGTAGCAGAGACAGGGACTGTTATCTGTCAGTGTGTGAGTAACACTTTGAACAGGGGAGCCCCAGCATTTTGAACATCTTGTTGGTAAATGAGCATGTGATGTTCTGGGCACTGGTTTATTGAATCTGCATCTTCATTTGATCAATTTTCTTCATCATATCATAATATTTAATTACACAGTTGTGTTATCTTGTCCCCAGAACTCATGTTATGTGTAATTACAGATTTATTATAATGTGTTAATTTTGAATAGTTATGGCACAGACAAGTTCAATTCTTCTGTTTGTTAACAGTGGAGGGATTAGCTTTGCATTTATTAATACCCTTCTTTTGAACTATATTGTACATTCAAATGTGCAGTAATGTGGCGAGGAATTGTCTCGGTGCAGTGCAGTTTAGAGGTCTGACAAGTTTTTGCAGGTTGTGATATTTCTTTTAATTTCTTTTGAATATCATTAATTGTGATAAGTTCTGTTTTCACTAATTTCGTATGAATTTTGTTAATTAACTGTATGAAGTGCCGTACTTCATTTGAAGTTACTCAGTCTTTGACAGTGTCACTGAGAGGAACTGGCTGAAGCCTCTTGGTTTAATTCAGTTTTACATCTCTGGCTGTATTTCCAGTTCAAATCCACGCCCAGCAAGAACGTGTCAGTGGTGGGCTGGATGGTGATGATGGCAGATGACCCTGAGCATCCTGATCTCTTCTTATTGACTGATTCTGAGAAGGGTAAGAGTGCACTGATCCCCAGAATAAGCATTTGCATTGCTGAGGTCGTTTATAAGCAAGTAGATGAGCAAGTGAAAGGTAACATCCTGTTACATCCTTCCAATTTCAGCTGCTCTCCAAGATGTCATCTTTGCCTTTAGAGTGCTATGGGAACAAGAATCTGTGGAGAATCCTTAGAGTCTTCATTAAGTTCTGAGAACCCTCCAAACCCTTAACAACTCCATTTGTGATTTTTATTGGAAGTATTCCTCTGCATTCTTTCAAACTATATTTAGAACACTGAGGCATTTTCACATGTGTGAAAATGGAACTAACAATAAAAAAAAGAGATTCAGCTAATACTACCTGCTTGACCAGTCCCTTCTCCTCTCACATGAAAAACAAAAATCAAACCATCTGTTCAAATGTAGTGCTATTACCAGGAAAAAAACCCTAAGAGATCTTGGCTGTTTTGTGGATTTCCATCACTCCAACACAGCACCCTGCTTTCAGCTTAAACTTGGAAGAAAATGTTACTTTTCCGTAGCACTTCAAACTGTGCAGAAAGAGCATTATTAGAAGTTCTGAGAAAGGAGCTTAAAATTATTTATTGCTTTGTCTGCTTCAAGTCTTAGTGTGTTTTATTTCCAAACATCCATTTTAGCACCACTGATATGAGGTGTAAATACTGAATGCTTGTCAGTTTAAACTCTGCAACAGCAATCTGAAAAGTTTTTGTAACACATGGCCTTGCTGAACCTAAGCAAGCACTGTGTAACACCAGGCACTGAAAACACGAGTCTGAAATGTATCAGTAGGTTCAGGAACAACATTCAAACATTTTCAAGTGTAGCTTTCCAGAGAGCATTTCAGTGATATCTTGCACTTCATTAAAAAATTATGGTATTATAAACAAATTGCAATAGTGGGCAATGATCTCAAACATTTTTGTGCAGTTCTAAGGAATGTTTTGTTCTTTCCTAGTTGATACTGGCATTAGTTGAAATCTAGAATGTTGGAAAGGAAGGCAGGAAGCTGCAGCCTCTCTTCACTAGCTCAAACAATTGCACCTATTCCAGACAAAGTGTAAAGTTATATGAACCTTCTGTTATTAAATCTTTTCATAATGTCTTAAGTTAGAGGTATTTGAATATGGGTAGGATTTAAGTGCATAGCATTGTTTGTGTTTCCTCATCAGATTTTTTTTCCCTTTCTCACTTAGGAAATTCATATAAATTTCAAGCTGGGAACAGAATGAATGCAATGCTCTGGTTCAAACACCTGAGTGCTGCCTGCCAAAGCAACAGACAACAGGTGAGAGCAAGATGCTGCAGTGGAATGAGCTTTTAAGAGCTCAGAAGTGACGGATCTTCGAGCTGCCCAAGCTGTCACTGAGGGCTTTGTGTGAGGAGCAGTGTACCCTGAGCAGCCTCTGCCTCCATTTCACATGCTGGTTGATTTGCCTTTGCCTTTGTCTTTGTCCCTTTGCAAACTCTGGGGTAATGAAGAAGGATTTGGGGCTATCTTGAGGCTCATTTAAAGCAATTGGGGAAATGCAAGGAATGCTCTAAAATACCTGTCCAAGTGGCAGTGTTTTTGTACTGCCCATTTGAAAAGGGCTGTTTGTACAGTTACATAAAAGCTGTAAACTGTAGCATTCAATATCAATTCCAGGTAACTCTCCTGTATTGCTGTTTTTTTCAGGTGGTGGACGTGCATATTTTCTGTTGGTTGTTATGTATTCCTAAAATGTATAAACAGTAGTCTAGTCCTCGGTACATTTTGCAGTCTTTGATAGCAAAGGTAGTATTTTCCATGAGTCAAAAAGGAAGATAGACTGCTCCAACCCCTATTAAATGCTGTTCCTGTATAAATTCTTATTGATCTTTTTTATCAGCAAAATCCTTTTTAAGTTATTTTGCCTCCCTGAACTCTCCCTTTTCCTTTGCACATTTGTTTATGGAGTTTCCAGAGCAGAAATACCACTGAATTTCAAGGGGAAACAAAAAGACCTTTCCACATCCTTCTGTGCTTTCTTGTTCAGTTCTGCTTCTGAGACAGATCTTAAGGAGTAAGGAGGGTTGCAGAAGCTCCTGTGGAGGTATTTGAGACAGTGCAAAGGAGAGGAAATTGTGTTCCTGTGGCTGGAGAATGTGGGGATAGTGGCAAATAGTAGCAAAGAGTTACAGACAAGTGGTGACTTCCAGGCAAGCCTGAAAACTGCCCCCTGAAGACAAGTTTTATTCAATAAGATTTAACAGTACTGTCTAATACTGTTAACAGTGTGACTGCCTTAGAAAAAAATTGGATGTTTAAAGGTGTTTTCAATAGAATATAAACACCTACCCAGCTGAGTAATACTGAGAACTATTTTAATAGATACTATTTTTGATTTTAATGGTGAAACTTTAGCCCAGTTGAGCATTCTACAGGTAAATGATAAATCATGGAATCATAGAATATGCTGAGTTGGAAGGGACCCATCAGGATCAGATGCAAAGCAAGAAATGCTTGTTTCAAATCTGACCAAACTGGGTATTTATTGAGTGTCATCAGGAATGTGCTGGCTCTTTAATAAGCTGAGTAAACAAGAGATGCTGCTGTCAGGTAAATTCCTGATGGGGAGAAAAATGGAAATATAAACTAATGTATTGCAAACTAGCTTTAATCTTCATGAAAGGGAGTGATATCTGCAGCAGGCAATTCAGGTTTCCTCTGGGAAAAGCTCAGGCAAGTGTTGATGCCTCGTTTTTATTAAATTAATCTTAAAAATACTAGAGGGCCTACATCAATCACTGCTCTGTGTGCCAAGAATTCTCTAGCTGGGGCTTGTGTAGTTCAGTGCTGAGATTTGTCATGTGAAGGTTCTTTTGCTGACAAATCTTAAATGTCATGAAAGTTAAAAGTTCTATGGCCATATAATAAAATTATAACCCCTGAAACAATTTAATATTTTAGTTATACCTGTTTTTTCTACAGTTCTAGGTATGTTTTGATAGTTGCATTCCTCCTCCCCTTTTTTGGAGACAGAACAATGTGCATTTGAACAGGTGTCTAGTGTGTGTAAGAGCTGAATGTAAGTAGCTACTACTTGAAGTAAATTCTTCTATCATTTCCATTTTTGCTTTCAGGTTCCTGCCAACTTGATGACCTTTGAATAACAGGCTAATTCAAAACAAAAAAAAATAAGAACAATTTGAACCATCTCATACCTGAGAAGGAGGTCCTGATGAAAAACGTGCCAGCTGTATCTGTGCCAGAACAGAGCCTGTCCACTCGATCTCTGAACTCTGGAGCCCTGAACAAAACCACTAATGGCTGGGGAGCAGAGTCCCCCAGGTGAAAAATGGAGTTGCAACATGAATTGCCATGGACCGTGCTTCGTTATGTTCTCTGAACTGACCTGTGGAAACCACTGCCTTAAAGAGTGAAAGGAAAAACAACATGAAACACCAAATAGTGTGTGTGAAACTTCTGGCGGTGCTGTGCTTGAGTTAAATAGATTGTAGCTAGTTTGAGTTTCTTTTAACTTTATACTAATTTTGAAAATAACTCACCTTTTTAGGCATTCTTAAGAAAACAGGTAAACTGGTATTTAAGAGCTGTATCTAAAGCTATGTATGAACCGGGTAAGAGAGGTACTACATGTCCTAGAGATGTTGTTTAGACTATACCAGGAGTTCTGGATGGGAGCTTGTCCCAGGCAGTCTTAGCCTGGAGCAGTGTTATTTCTCTCAGACCTACAAGTATAAAGTTTGAGACAGCAGTGAGTTTGCAAACCTTGGTCCTGCACAGGAGCCGGGCGCCCGACAGCGGCACTTACACGCCAAATACTGCTTTGGTACGTCGGGACCTCATTCCTGGTTAAAAACACGTGGTTTGGGCGGTCAAGGGGGGTGTGTAAGAGACAAAACTCAAAGCACTGTTGGGTCAGCACTGAGTATTTTCTTCCCATTTGTTGACTGACAAAACACCGACACCCGGGTACAGCTCACCGAGACGCTTTCCTTCTCTGGGTGTCTGCTAATGACCAGTTAGGGACCACTGTTAGTGTGTGGTGTTTCATAATATCACTTAAGATGGACATTTTTAAGAAGATAGAGGCACAATTTCAAAGCTTTCACGTTCTCATTTGGCAATAATTGATTTTAGTATCTGTCTTGGTCGAAATAGTTGACGTTGTGTGGTGTTGATAACGTGGCCTAAAGCAGACCTTACGTGCAGAAGCTCTTTTAATCTTCAGGCAAATAACTAATTTATTAGAAGGTAGGATATAACCTAAGGAGAGAAAAGGTGTGGGACCATCAAAATTCTGTCCTTGGCAGGAATCATTCTTGGTCACTGGAATTACTCACAAAGAAAAACATTATGATTGTAAAAAGGGAGCTGTGCTTTATGTGTGTGTTTGATGCTTAAGATTTTGATTCTCGCTTTCTTGGGGTTTCCTTGACGTCACCTCGTTTCCTGGATGATTGGTCTCTCTTTAATCTTAAAAAATATGATCTTTGTAAAGCAAGGAAACGTTGTCCCAAGATATGACTCCGATATCAGAACTTTGAAGTTTGTGAAAAATTAGTAACTGTTCCATTGGCATTGTGGTTTAGTGGCCGTAAATACGCTTGCAGATTCCACCATGAATTCTCCTTTTTAAAAAGAAACAAGCTACCTACCAGTCTGTTTGAGAGTTCTCTGACTATCTAATAAAGGTTTCTACTAGTAGTTGTTATTTTGAAAATGTATAGTTTGTTTATTGCATCTGAGTAGAAGCCTATAAATTCACTTTTGGGCTGTTTTGGGGTTTTTTTTTTCCTCCGGAGTCAAATTAATCTCATAATAGAAATGATTACTTTCTGGTTTCTGGCGGGCAAAAAAGAAGGCTAATCCAGTCTCACAGTAAAAACAAAACAAAAAACCAAGCAAAACATACAAACCCCAACCACTTGGTGATGTAAAGGGTAACAGGCTGGTTTATGTTTCCAGGAATTGTTCTGATTTGGCTCTTGGTAGAAAGAAAACACTAGAAAGATGCTTCTGTCGGAATTACACCACAAACACTCTGAGAATTTGAGACCCTTTGCATTTTTTTGGTTGCTGTTTTTTTAATGAGGAATGAATAGCCTGTTCTCATCCTGAAGTCATGAACTTTGGGAAGAGGTTGCTTGTGCTGAATCCCTCTGCAGTTCACACATCTCCCAGGTTTACCCACGTTAGGTGTATAGTAAAGACAACATCTTCAGAGCCAGCAGTGTTACTCAGTAGACTTTGCACAACTTTAGTTTGGGGGTTTTTCTGTTTTAAGAATTACTTAGTGTGTTTCTTCTCAATGACTAAGTGGGTTTTTGTTTGTTTGTTTGTTTTTTTAATAACGTGTCTCCTTTTTTTAAGCATTGTGGATAGTAGCCTGTGGATTTTGAATTTTTAAATAAGCTAATCTGGGTTCATTGCAGCATAACTGTATCTGTTCTTTTGTTAGTGAAAGGCAACATGCAACTGGGAGCCACAGCCTGACAGCACACAGCTTTGCTAAGGACAGAGCCAGGTCAGGACATGTCATTTATTACTGGGTTTTTTTGTATTTTTCCAGCTGTTTTGAGTTAGGTTTTATGGTAGGAGGAGGGTGGGGAAAACAGTTTGCAAATCATCCTTTAATGAATTGTTGCTGTTCCCAGTTTTCGTTGTCCTTGGGCCTCCTACTCTTCCTTGTTTTCCACCCTCCAATACTGGAGATTCATGGGAGAGATGGAATATTGTGGGAGGAGTTCCTTAAAGTGTGTGGCCATAATAACTGGAGTGAGTAATGACAACACAGAAAAGCATTTTTGGCACTTGTTACAATGAGTAGTTCAGTGCTTTCCCATTGTTGTCCTACAGGGCAACACAGAAACACTGTCACGTTATATATTTTAAGATAAATGGTGCTCAGAAAGAGGTGGAGGGTTTGTTCCCTGAGGGAAAGCTGCCTCAGCTCAGCTTTGGAAAGACACAGACAAGTCATATACACTGTAAAGAGCGTAGTAATGCTCCTTTTTTTTTTTTTAATTAAAAAAGGAGGTAAAAAAATTAAATAACTGAAACTAGTGCTGGGAAAACAAGGACAGCAACGAGCTCATGGTATTCAGGTAAGACTGTCATCCAGACTACTTCAGATAGTTGGCAGGTTTTCTTTGATTTTTATTTTCAAAGTGTTGCTCTAATTCTTTATCTTGTAATAACTGTTGAAACACTTCAGCTAATATTTGTCACTGTGTTTTTTCCGAACGTTTTGATTTTGAAACTAAAGATGCCCATTGCAACTCCTTGTTTTGGTGGCATTCGAGCAAAAATTATTCAGTGTAGATCTTCTAGTGAGACTTGGCATGTAAATGTGAATCCTCTGACAGCTCACCAGTTTCTTAGCCAAACTAAAAGTTTTGGGAAAGATCAAGAAACAGGGAATGTCTGGTTTATGGAACTGGTGCAGTGCATTAGAAATACATAACATTGCACTGGTGGTTGAATACTTACTGCTAACTCTTATCTCATTTCATCTGTGCTACTTTTGGCTGGGATTTTCAGACCTAACTTCTGTCCCAGTGTTCTTGGAAAGCAAATGAGATTTATTTTTTAAAAATTCGGATAGCTTGAATAAACATAGCTCACCCCAGACACGTATTTCCTTTTGCAGACATTTTCATGCCAGAGGAATATTACTCAAGCTATTACGATTCATTAAGTATTTAGGTGCAAGTTATAGGCATTAAAACTACAAATACTGAATGAATGCACATAAATACTTAATGAATGAGCTTTAGCACCCAGCTTTAAAATTTAGAGAAGTGTGCACATTTGAAAACATATTGGGAGCAGAAGAAAGCATTAAAAACCACAGCAGGGTTTTATTAGTTATCTGTTCCTCACTGGAAGTGAATTCATCTAATCTAATCTTGCAACATCAGCCTCCTCTATTTGCATTTATACATTTCCAACAATAGTCCTCCTCTATTAGAATCAGACATAACACATGTTAACAGCAGATCCTTTCCCTCCCAGCAGAAGCAGTTGCAGGTTTTTTGTGCTGCTGAGGCACGTGAGAAGTTGAGGTCCCTTGTGACAAAAGGCAAGTTGATCTTGTGGTTTTGGATAACTGTAGTAGATCTTATCCAAATCAAGATAAGGTAAAACATGGGATATTGTTTCTTCTGTCTCTGTCAGTGGCATTTTTCTTTATTGTTTGTCCCTTTTTTTTGATATTCTAACTCACCAGCATTGGTAGTTCCAGTATTTTCCATGGCCAGCTCTGTGTGCTACCTGCTGCAGCATCAAGACCCCAGGAGTGGTACTAAATCACATCAGTGAATTGCCTATTCTCCTTACAAAGACAAGCTGCGAAAGTTTTACTGTTCTTTTTAAATGTTACCCTTTTTCTTTCGTTCTTCTCTAAAAGTGTCTTGTGCATGAGGTGGTTTGGCTTGGGAAAGTTGTCACTGAAAGGATCTGTACGAGTGGGCGTGGAATTTGTTCATAGGGGTTACCACTCTTTTTTAAAACCCATCATTCTGATATGTGATGTATCAGGAGGGTGAGTGCTTGGATTTGAGGAGGACTTTTGCCAGTGCCTTATTATGAACTTGGAGACCAATTCCTTTATTTCAGTGCTGAGAGTCCCACCAGGGCAGACTTGCAGGCTGTGTCCTCAGTGGACCAAGGAGTGACATTCCTGGCAGTCATTGCATTTCTGCAGCAGACAGTTGTTTTGGTCAGTGTAAAATAGCTTGGCTTGAGTTTCCTTACTATTATTTTTTTTTCTGTGTTTGTATAGCCTCTTTTTAGGAAAAATGTAGATATTTGGTAGCTTGGGCTTGTTCAGCTTTTGTCAGAAGTAGCTCAGACCTCTTAAAAATTAATTTACTTTTATTTTGGTGTGTCTCTGAGTAGATTGAGTAGGGGGGAAAATTGAAAAGAGTAGTTCAAGTCATGGTCTAGACCACATGAGCTGAAGAGCTCATGCTGTTAGAAAGGAGCTTGCTTTTCTCTCTCCCATTTGAATGTAAACAATGAAGAACATTCTTATGAGAAGATTTATTCCTTACAGGCTTCTTGCTAATGTGAAGTAAATACCACAGGAAAAAACTGTTTGGGGGAAAGAGGGGACTTGGATTAATCTTAGTCTTAATATCCCAAAAGCTCAGTTTTATATATTGTATTTCTAGTGCCAGCACTATGTGGAGAGCACTGCCCTTCACTGAAACAACTGCAAGAGGCTGTTTTAGCAGCAAGGTTTCAGAAGCTTTGGAAGGGGAAATGAAAGGAAGAATGTTTAGTTCTTATGCAATTAAATATTTGTTTTCCTGGAATACATCCTTGTAAAAACACAGCAGTTTTAATATAGTCTTTTTGGTAAATTCAGATGTTGGAAGGATTATTTGCAAATTAGTCTTATGCTTTCTAAGAATCTTCAAAGACAACAGAAGGGTTGGGTCCAAGGAGAAAACACAGATTACTTAGTTCAGCCATGTCTGTTGCAGAACTGGGCTGGGGAGTTTCCTTGAAGTTATGTTGGTAAGGAAAAGAAGGAGCATGAGATTAATGAAATGCAGGTTCCTGCAGCTCCTGGCGTGGCTCTGGCTGTCAGCCTGGTCCTGCTCTGGAGTGACTAAAAGCACCGTAAATACTCCCTTTCCTTTGTGTGTTTGATTAGTGTATTATTTCTCTTTGTTTGGGTAGGTTCTGGCCTTCACCTGTGATTCCTGAAGGAATTTCTTACCATTCCAAAGCTGTTCACAGCTGAAACTGCAAAGCAGAAAAGCAGTTAATAAATGGATTAAATGTTGAAATAAAGGGTTCTGGGGTGCCTTGTTTACTGGCGCTTCTGGCTCCTTGTGTTCAGGAGTGTATCCATTCAAATGCTGCTGCACTGAAGTGGGAAAAGCACCAGGAAACCATAGCTGTGTTTTATAATAATCCTGTAAGGACCAACCATCACTGGGAGGGGGATCAAGGTGTCATGCAGTAAACACAAGCCATTTTTAATGTTCCCTGCTGGTGTGAGGCGTTCTAGGGATAGAGGGATTGCACTATGATCTTGCTGAGGGATGTGCAGTTTGTCCTCTAGCCATTTTCTTCACCTTTTTTAATACTTTATTCTGTGTGTGCGTGTGAAAATTGTGTGTTTGCATAAGCTAGTTTAAATGAATTGAAGAACAGGTTTCAAAAGTCTTTCCTACTGAAATAAATGATTTAAAAGATGGCCTGTGTCTGAAGTTTTAATTTCTCATTTGAAAATCTGCATTGAGACTGCAACCAGGTTTTGCAACGTGGAATTTGACTGTCTTTGGGAATGGTGCTGAGATCAGCTGGAATTTTAGTGGCTTTTTATTTTTTTAATGAACCTCTGAAATGAAGCATGTAAAGATACCGTTGTCTGCTGGTACAAAAGAAATCCGAAAACTAGCAGGGAGATACAGTTCATTGAAGAGATTTATGTTTGGTCTCAGAGATTGTTCTGTTAAATGATGTGGTTTTTCTCTCGGTGGTAGTTTATCAGATTCTTTTCTGTTGTCTCTGTATTTAAAGATGTGATAAATTTAAACTTGCTGAAAGCAGTGATCAGGCAGATTGGCTCTTGAGGAGCAACTACATGGAAGATAAACTAAAAATGAAGAATGAATGAATGAATAGCATGCAAAGCCTTGTATTTCCTCAGCTCTTTGTTTGGTGTTGCTTCTCTCCTCTCTGTGCCTTTGTTACTCTGTGAAGCCTTACTGAACTGGATCGTGCAGCCCTCGGGGGAGATGCTGTGGGGTCAGGCTGTGAAATGCTTGTCAGAGTGTGAGCCTTGGGCTCCTTCTCCTTTTCTCTGTGATGGAACAATTCGTTTCAAATGTATTTGCGAAGAGAGAAGGAATAAAGTAGATTTTTGTAACCCCCTCCTTTTTCTTATTTCCAGATTATTGAGTTTGAGGAAACGCTTTGTGCTCAATAGCGTGAAAAGAAACACAGAATTAATTAGCTGGTGATTTCTGTTTCCCTCTTTTTTTTGGTTCCTTTTCAAAGCTCTTTTTGTGTGGTTGAAGCGAGAGTTCTTTGGAGTATTTTTTAATTTATTTTTTTTTCCTAAATCAAGGAACACATCAAGGAGTCCTTTTGCCTCTTTTCTTCTGTTCCTGTCTCTCAGAATGCTGTTTACAGGAGAAGGCCTCCAATCCAGAGAGTGAGAACACAGGTGGGGGAAAGGCACCTGATCTCTTCCTTGCTTCCCAAGTGGAATGATTTTCACTGTGGTTATACTTCCTGGTGTTTTTTACCAAGGAGAGATGCTGAGTCCATTAACTGAATGTTAAAAGATTATGAAAGAATGATTTGAAAGAATTGAAATTGCCTTGATTTTGTAACATCATCTTTAGTTTGGGTTGTGTTTTTTTTTTACATAGGAAGGAACCACAGTGAGGGGAGAGGGTTTAACATCTGTGGGAGAAGCAGAAACCAAACCACAGACATATGAAACAACCAAGCTGAAAGGAGATGGTATTTCCCCCCTCCCCCTCCTTTTTTTTATATATATTAAGCTTAGTTTTTGTAAGTGAGAAGGTTGGGTAACAAAAAATGTAAGCAGATGATACTGTTTTGGCCTTGACAGAACAGAGGAGAGATATGGTTTTGATAACAGCAAATAAATTGAATACACAAGATTGAATCCATGCTTCCAGCTTGTAAGTAATATTTTTATTAGTTTTTCACTTAAATTGAGCATTATTACTGAAACACACATCCTTACATGGGTAATATTTACCTTTACACTGATGTTTGCCTCTTTCATTTTTAGTTCAATTTGGTACTTAAGGACAAAATTCAGATCCAAAATAAAACCTTCAGCTTATCTTCCTGGGCTGGTACAAGAGACTGTTGCTGCTGTGCAAAACTGGCCTTTACTAAATTACTTTGCTCTGTAAATTTATCTTGCTGTGTAAAAGAGCTGGGTTTTATATGGTGTGTGTTGTGTGATGGGGCATGTCGGGCACCTGATGAAAAATTCCAGTGTATAAAATCATGTAGTTTCGATTCTGAAACATTCAAAAGGGCCTCTCGAAGGAGATCTGCAAAGGGAAACATGACAGTGTACTTTTTTTTCAGGTTTAAAAAGTGGGGGGGTTATCTGTAGAAAAACACAGAATGAGTCCAAGCCATTTATTAAGCTGAAGAGAGGCCTTGTACATGAACACAGCCAGCAGCAATGTGCTAATCTGTCTTTCATTTTCTTTTCAGGTAGGAAAATGTTTCCCTTTCGTTATGGAAAAGGGATAAGGAGCTGAACTGTTTTTAGGTCAAGTAATACAGCTAAACATTTAACTAATTCATTGCTTGTTGAAGATGCAAGCCAAGGGCAAACGGTGGCCTCTGTTGCTCGTTGCCTGACTGCAGATTTAATGGTTTAGAGTGACTGGAATACAGAAACAGCTCATGAGAAGAGGGAGCCGTTGCCTCATACAGGAGCAGTCCCACAGCAGTGGCTTGGAGACAAATTGATGCTGGTGTGAGTAGCTCAGTAGTGTTTTATGACAGAACTGGGAACAGCAAATGCAAATCCTGAGTTCCTGGTGCTGAAGCAGCAGGATGCTCTTTAATGAGTATAAACATGTATCTAAGATTTACTCAAAGCAAGCCAGTCTAAATGGGATAGTTGTGATTCATTATAATTTCTTGATTTGGGGATATTTGGTGTTGGCAAGCATTTCATAAACTTTTGATTTGCACTACATACCAAAAATACTGTGAGTAAGCTGTTAGTAAGCCTGAGTCACACTCACCTCAGTAATCAGCTCCCCATCAGTATTAAATCTATAATGTTACACCAGTGCTGCTTTTGTTCTTATTCCCTGTCTCTGACACCTGTATCAGAGGCTTCAGAGGAAGGAGTAAACCTACAGCGTGCAGGTGAGTGAACTTTCAGCCAGGTAAGTAACTCCTGACTCCTAATGACTTTTATGTATTGAAAGCTTTACAGTTTCATTTTCTTAGTTTCATTCAACATGGTGATGGCTTAATAGTGAAAATGTTTCTGCTAATCTTTCCTCCTTTCCAGAAGAGGTTGAAACTGTGTATGTAAGATGATAAAGAGCAGAACCAACGTGGTGTGCACACACCAACACAGAGCCAGTGTGAAATATACCCCAGGCTTTCTTTTAAATCTTGTCAGAGACACCTGTATATTATTACTTACTTTTAGGAGTCAAAATGTGTCGTGGGATGTTGACACACAGGGTTATTACTCACAGCTTTGCATTTAATTTCATAGAATCCCAGAATGGTTTGGGTTGAAAGAGACCTTAAAGCTCATCTCGTTCCAAACACCTTCCACTATCCCAGGTTGCTCCAAGCCCTGTCCAACCTGGCCTTGGACACTTGCAGGGATGGAGCAGCCACAGCTTCTCTGGGCAACCTGTGCCAGGGCCTCACCACCCTCACAGTCAGGGATTTTTTTTCTAATATTTAGTCTAAACCTACTCTTTCAGTTTGAAGCCATTTGCTCTTGTCCTGTCACTCCAGACCCTTGTAAACAATCTCTCTCCATGTTTCTTGTGGGCTCCCTTCAGGTACTGGAAGACCACAGTTAGGTCATTTGTGAGGTTCCTTCAGACAACCTAAAGGGAATAAGGAAATTCTTTCAGGATAAATCTGTTGGCCATTTGGATATCTGAGAATATCTCCTAGCCATTATATGTAGACATATCATGCTTGCTACTATGGCATCTAATGAATATTTACTAAACAACATATTGTTTAAATCGTACTAATTGTGCTGCTGTGCTGCCAGTTCACATTCATGCAAATGAGAGCTGTCAAATTCAGTGCCTTGATGGTTATAAGATCTCAGGGGAAGCTGTTCCTCAAGAGTGTGGTGATGCCTTACTGCCCAGTTTGGAACAGCAGCAAGCAGTAATAGTGCCAGGCTGGAGAACAGGCCAGCTCTGCTGATTGTATCCAGTGCACTTTGCAATGGGTCAAAAATGCATAAAATAATCAAGGCAGAACTTGTCAGAGCACGCCTGATCCGGTGTTTCTGGCAAAACTCTATCTGTTATCCTGATTTAAGTCATTTTTCTTGACACTGATGGTGTGGGGAGGGTACAGCCCATCAGTGGCCTGGCTGTGTGTCCCAGGCAGCCCAAGAAAAATGCAGGGCAAACTAAATCATTTAAATCCTGGTACTGCCAGGGCTGTAGGTGGTTGTCTGTGATGTGGAACCTCAGGGATTTTGTGGGGTTTCAAGCAGACAGAACAATCTCTTGCACTCAAAGAAGCTTATAATGTCAAAAATCAAAAAAAACCCAGTCTCTAGACAAAGCTTACTGAGCTGAAGAGTTTCCAATTGTGCATCAGTCATGCTCCCAAGAAGTGGTTTATTAAGATTAGTGAGGCATTTGGACAGCTGTGAGAGAGGCCACTGCTCCTGCTGAGGCTTCTGCCAGTCTCAGAAGGGGGAACCCCTTGGTCCTCTTGCCATTCTGTTTGCCTACAAGTGGCCAGGGAAAATATGAGTAAAATAGTTTATTTATAAATGTAAGGAAAAATGGTTTATTAGGTCAAAGCACAAAAAGGGAAGTACACAAAATTCTTAATTCACCCCCATATTCTGGTCCTTTTCAAGAATAAAAGGAGGTAAGAAATCCTGCTAGGTTTATACATTTATTATTTTCTCTAACTCAGTGCTTTGTGTTGCCATTTGATCCTTGAAGTGCTGCTTTTTCAGTGCTGAATGTAAACGAGCAAATACAGTGGATTTTTTTTCCTCCTGCTCTGCATGTGGGAAAAGCTTCCAAAGGAGGCTTTTGGGATGCATCAGACCAGTTCACCTTGAGCTCACCCAGTCTTTCAGCTAAGCACAAGTTCCTTAATATATTGTTCTGCCTGTCATTTCTAGTTAGATAATGACACTGAATGCTCTGATGGTATCAGCCCAGCATTTGTTCCTTCAGTGTCAAGGATATGCAATGAAAATGTAATAGGCAGTTAGATTAAAGTAAAAATATGCTGCTGGCAAGGAAGTAACAAATTGGATTAAGTCAATGCTGTTTTGGATGTTGGTAACTAGATGAATTTTAATTTCTCATGGTTTTTTAAAAAGAGCCATTTAGGCACACAACACTTCATATTTTAAGGTTATGTTACTGTTTTAAATCTACTTCCTAATTCTCTTTATTATTTCAAAAATGTATTATTCCCACATTGTGAAACTTGAAGCTGCTCTT